TAAAATTTCACTTTTATCGAAACTAATTTGGTTTTAGATTTTTCTTACCATTATAATAGCCTCACAGATTTTCTAATTTTCATTTTTTACCTTCTTTTCCCCTTTTTTTTCTTTATTTCATTCCTTCTTATTATAACTTTCTGTTTGGATTTTTAAAGGTGTTTTTTTGTAAAGGAAGTTTTTTTTGCAGGAAAAAACGAGTGGGGGTGGCCACCACTGGACATAATGCGACCAATGCGCATCCTCTGCTCGGTGATTCAAACACAGAATTGATGGGTTTGTATAAGCCACGAACCCAGGAAACACGACAGACATATGAAGCAATATTGGCATACATACAGGATGCTATCGGTGATCAGGTATCACACAGATTTCGCTTGGGTTCTTCGTTTCTTTGAACAGCCTGCGGCGCATTTTCTGATTGAATACGCTCTCACCATCAATGTACAACACTGCGACCGTCATACTGACGAGGTCCAGTCGTGGTGTTGAGCTATGACGTACATGACTTCATGGACCGAAACGTCTTAACTCTCTCGTACTTATTTTTCCTGTACCAGCAATATTTCTCCCTTTTGCATTACATAGTTCGTTCTATTCTTGCCTTCTTTTCTACGTTCTTCATATTACTTTTATGCTACAATCATGCGATAATCACAGTAGCAGTAGATAGTTTCTCAGTCTATTCGATTCTGAGCGTTCCGCATGCAAATAACTTTGCGTACATGTTTACGCATTCACAAACCGTTAATTGTTAGTTTTAGTGGCGTTTGGGTACCAGTCAGTAGTTTGGTTTCTTTTTTTTTTCATCGATTATGATCACGATTTATCCTTTTTTTTAGCACACATTATCGTAATAATTTTCACAGTTGCTTAATAGTTGTCTTAATAATTTTCATAACAGCCATCCAAAAGAACGGATGTTTAAATAAGAACGGCTGATGATTCCTACCCCATTTCGCACCGATTCTGCCATCTGTGTTTACAGCTCAGGGATGAAACACGGACAGGCTACCAAGTCACTGTACATACAGGCTTGCTTATTTGGGAGATCTAAATGGCAGTACTTCCAGTGTTTTCATTAATTATCAAAATTCGACTGTGTTCCTCTCCACGGTAGTGGGCCATTAATGTCAAACAAACTGCATATGTTAACGAATAGAAGACTTCAGGCCCCCGTCTTCTTCCAGTCTCCTAACCAAGGATATTCGTTGTTTATATCTCTAAAATTTCTACAGCATTTAATAAATCGTTATTTAAAGGGACTTGAAATTGTATGAAAAATGAAAATTTGGTTTTTTTCTTTCAGCAAAGTTCAATTTTGAAAATGGTTTCTTTTTTTTTAGCCTCGCGATATCCTCTGCGGTGCTGCTGATGAAGTTTTGACAGTTCTGAAGTCAGACAAAATCCGTGAAAAAGAGCGAAAAAAAGAAGTGGAGCTTCTTCTTGGCCCACTTACAGACGAGCGAATTGCTGTGCTTATTAATTTAGCGAAGAAAATCACCGATTTTTCAATGGAAGAGGAGAAAAAAGCTGACAATGTACGTTTTTTTTAAAGAATTTTTTGAGATTTTTTTGTATTTTTTTGTCATATGATGTGAGAATTTGGAATGGTTTTCTACCGAATTAGCGAGCAATTGGTTAATCCCTTTACGATTCGTTCATTCGTTTCGATAGTAAATTGGTACTGGTATATGCCAGGGAATTAAATCTGTCATCGTGTTGTTTCTGTTCAATTCTTGAAAGAGGGAGCCATCGATAGCCTTGCCAACTGGTTGTTGCTGTTGACATTTGCTACCAGTTAGGTTATTGCCTGATTGTTTTAGATTTCCAGAGGGAGCAAAATACGC